CTGAACATGTCCTATAAAATTAAGCTACCATGTTTGGTGTGTGTGAGAGAGAAAGAGAGATATCACATTGCCTGGTTCAGAGCTCCAACCTGACCTCAAGGCCTCACTTGAGAAAAAGGAACAATCTGATCTGAGATATCAGACATAGTTACAAAGGAAGAATGGGTGGTGCTACAGAAAGACATTGAAGACAGATTGAAACTGTATTAATGGGTGGTAGAAAGACATTGAAGACAGATTGAAACTGTATTTCCAGTTAACTGAGATTAAAATTTTGAACCTGACTGTAACTGCAGCCTGCATTAGCATCACTTAATGAGTGACAAATCAAATCCCTGTCGTGGTTATTGGCACATAAGGTCCTGGTTTGAGACTTGGTTGCATGAACTAATAAAACTGGCAAGTGAAAAGACCACATGACCGGTATATGCTTGACATTTGAGTTCTGTCCAGTTTCTTAAAATGACTCTGTGGGGAGTAAGGCAGAACTAGACCTTCCATGATCACTCTGCATTCCTCCCCCCATTTTTATTCCCAGCCCCTAAGAAAGGCGATATGGAGACTGTTGATGCACGTGGGATCCTATTCTTTGAGCTCTTGTCCAAACTGGTGGAGACTTCTGTGCTGCCACGGAAAACCACAGTGAATATCGTCAGGTGAGAAATAAGAAGACCTAAATAGGTACTGTACACATGTCATCACGTTCCTTTTGCAAAACCTATTCAAAAGAAACTTTGTTGTGAGATTTAACAGTGCTATGTAATATTCATTACTTCATATCTTCACTGTTAAAATTTAAATCGTATGTTTCTTGGGAGTTTGGACCTGCTTTTTTGTTGTGTTGCTTTGTGAAGTGTTGTGTGTCTGTTGATGATGTTATATAAATAATAGTAATTGCTATTGAAAATTAATGGAATGATTATATAAATACAATTAATTCTTTAATTAGTGTCAATGCCTGTGCGAAACAGGAATATGTCATGTGAAATTGCCATGTTTGATTGATTGGCCTTTTCCAGAGCATTGTCCACCAGACATTAATGTAGGCAGTGCTCCCTTGTGTTTTATCAGTGACTCTTCTGCCTTTTTAAAAGGCCTCCCTTTTTAAAAAATATAGAAAAGTACCACAGTCTTCACAGTGTGAATGGTTTTAGCGCTGATCTTCTTTTTTTAAAAATCAAATAACATGTTAAAGCAAAGGCTTTTTTCTTCCTTCTATAACCTTTCCTTCTACTTAAGTAAACTTGTCAGAGCTAAGTGCTTGAAACCTTAGACATGGAAATAAAGATGCGCTATCTCCCAGTTGACCAGTTCAGACTACAGTACTTTGCTAAAGGCAGATAGAGGCAAGCTCATGATAGAATAAAAGATACAGTAGTCTTTTTCTTTTAAGGGATTTCTCCTGTGTTAATTGAGTTGCCTAGTTGGCCCCATGATGTGAGCCTAGTAAGAACAAGCACCTTGACTTGGTGAGACCCTGATGGAGCATTGGAGGGGATGAGGAGAGAGGAGAGGAGCCATCAGCTGTGAGCCTAGTTGTTTACCAGCAACAGTAGGCCAGGCAACAGCATGTGCTTCCTTCCCTCAGTTAACAGAAAATTAATAAATAGATGGTGCAACTCTTTCAGCACAGTATTTAGAAAAAGCTGGATGACAATCACCTTTCTGCTAGTTTCTCCTGTTGTTTAAAGCTCAGGTTATTCAATATAGTGAAAACATTAGGTGAATAAATAAAAATAAATGGTTAACTACAAATCAAGAGGTAGTCACATTTGCTGTCTTGTCCCATAATTTTCAGCTTTTGTCTTGGTTCTCGCTTTTTGGCATTTTAGCTACTACCGGCAAAAGTTCCTAGAGTCTACAGGCAGGAAAGCTTTGCGTGCTGATAGTATCGATGAAGAAAAAGAAACGGGACGTGGTGGCAAGAAAAGGCACGTGCCCAAAGCACGCTCCACTCCCTTGTCTTCCTTCGCTGGCGCTGCCCGCATTTGCATCATGAATGATAAAGAGCTGGAAGATTATGTAGAACATCTCCGCTTCCGAGGTAAGAACTACTTTTGCACCTCAGTTTGTGTCTGAGCAGGTCTGGATCATGACCAGGAAAACTGGAACTAATGGTGGTGTGGAAGGAGGCCACGCTTTTCACAGAGACTGCATGCTGTATTCATGATTGTGTGTATACATTCCTGCTCTGATCATAGCTAGAGTGTGGTCAGTTCAGAGGGAGACGTGGATCCTTTTTTATTTTTATTGTTGATGTATTTAGAACATTTACATGTACTGTATGATCGTTTACCAAACAGAAAAGGACTGGTTTGTGTCCTACTGGGCTTCCAATTTGAGGTGTACAGGTTTGTGTTTTTGGACTATAAATCCCATAATTCCTCAGGAGACACCTGGGGAATTCTGGAAGTCATCATCCAAAAGCACAAACCTTTACAGATCTACTTAAAATCTATACTGTAGTAACTGGGAAGGACAGGTTAAACTATTCAATATAATTATTATCATTGTTATCGTTGTTCTACCCTGCCTTTTCACCGAGATAGCATACAAATCTCAGTAAACATCACT